CAAGGCTGGGTATTCAGACTCAAAATCAATTTTTAGCAAACCAGGCCTAAAAACTTTAAAACACTTACTCAAAAGTCAAGTCGAGACTCAGAATTAGCCATCATGGATCATGCATATTATTTATCTATTAACCATGAGTTTTAGGTCAATAATTAGGGTAATGAACAGCACAGTTAGTGTCAAGGCTAAAATAATCGGTGCAGTCAATGCCAAAGCCAAGAATAATCAGAGCATTGCCAAAATCAGAATAATTCAGTCAGTCAGTGCAATCACAGTCAAATTCAGGGCAATTAGTGCCAAAATCAGAATAATCATGGCAACCAGTGCAAGAAATAGGAAAACCAGGGCAGTTAGTGCTAAAATCAGAATAATTTAGTCAGCCAATGCAATCACAATCAATTTCAGGGTAATAAGTGCTAAAATCAAAATAGTCAAGGCAACTAGTATCAAAGTCAGAGTAATCAAGGCAGTCAATGCCAAAACCAGAATAATCAATGCAATCACTATAGATTACAGTTCAAGCAATCGATCAAAATAGGCAATCGGTGCAAGTTCAAGTCGATACAATTAGTGCAAGTTCAAAACAAGGCAATCAGTGTCAAAGCCAAAAAAACCAGTGGACATCAGGGCAGTCGGTGTCAAAATTAGAAACAAGCAATCAGTGCAAGTTCAGTTTAGGCAGTTAATGCCGAAGTCAAAATACATAAGCAATCAGTGCAAGCCTTACAAATTAGTGCAGTTCAAGCAATTATAGATGAAACAGGGCAAGCAGTGCCAAAGTCAAAAAAATCATGCAGTCAATGCAAATTGCAGTTTAAGCAGCCAGTCAAAATAGGCAGTCAGTGCAAGTTCAAGTCGGTGCAACTAGTGCAAAATTCTCAAGAAAAGCAGTTCAGTGCAAGTTCAATTTAGTGCAAATCAGTGCATGAGTCAAAAATTCAAGCATCCAATGTGGAATGATAAAGGAGATAAAGCATACACCATCGAGAGCCTAAAACTAAAGGCCTATTCTAAAAACAGAAAAATAAAGAGCAACAGACCCAAGTCATCAATGGCATCAGAGCTCCTCGCACAGTGCCTTGACTTGACTCCTCAGGAAGCTCTCCTAAGTCAGATTCTTGGATAGTGCCCTACAAAGCTGACCAAACCGAACGGTCACCCCCTTACACCAAACAAAAGGAGGCTGCATGATTAAACACAAAGTTCAAAATTACTAAATCACAAGGAATAAGAATTGAACAGGCAAAAGAGGAAAGAAAGATACTGGCATGCCCTCGGGGTACTCGGGCCAGTGATCCGGAACGTCCTTCGGAATGGGGTACGTGACGGTACCATGAGGAGCAATGAATCATATGCATTGCATACCCTCAAATAGCATATCCGTCACTGGAGGAGCAATAACCCTCTGACTGGGTGCTCTCTGGCTAGGCTTTAGAGCGACAGTGGAGGAGAAGCGCGCTTGTGGTCGCCACGCCCATACGGCGAATGGGTGGGAGAGGTATAGCCACTTTCCTAAGACTCACTGAGCAGGGAACATGACATCATTAGTGATTAAGGGTTCATTTTAGCAAAGTTTTGGTAAGAAAGTGGCTTTCCAAAGCAAAGAAACAAGTAAGAGAGAGGGAGAGATTGGTGTGAGCAATTGAGACTCTAGCCCCCCTATTTATAAAAAATGGGGAGGACAAACTTCACCCTTGCCTGAAAGATTGGACTTTTTGGTACTCATTCAAACTCAGGATTCTGCACAATTTCAGCTTATATGATCTTGATAGAATTCCAAACAAAGTTATATCCTCCTAGGTTATGAACTTTATAGAAAAGACTCAAAAAAAATCAGTTGAATCATTTCGGTTCCGAAAAAATATTCTTAGAATTGGACAAGATTTTCATAGGATCTTCCAAACATAATCATGACCTGCAAGGTATTGTTTTCATACCAAAATTCTTATCAGAAGTGCTGAAATCGGGGTCCATAAGCTCGGACCAAGATCAGCTTTGATCTTCTAGAAGGGACAAACTATTGACCATGATTTCAACACCAGGCTCTAGAAAATTTCGCTCATGATCTAACGGCGTGAGAATCAGCTCCATCAAATGTTGTTTGGGCCTTGAACAGACTCTCAGAAGCCCAAAACCTCAAAAATCAAACTAAAAGAGCAAGGCAGTAATTTGCCCTAATCGGTACCGACCTGCTTGGCATCATTATCAATCACCTGCCCATTAGTATCGGTAGTGGCCTACCAAGCAACCATCACTGTTACCGGCACTAACATGGCCAGTAGTGGCACTGATGTGCTCAATACTGACCAGCTCGAGCTCAGCCTCTAAATAAGGCAATCCTTCCCCCCTCTTTTGAGGCACCTCTTGTTGTTTGATCGAGTGCTTCTCAAGCATCAACGACTCTCATTCTCCCTTCTGCGAATGTTTCTAAGGCTTTATAGTACAACTTTGCTCATCTTTCGTAGTTGAGTTAAAGCCTGACTTGGTTCTCAAAAGTCGATCATTTCAACTTTCAATCACACTTTGGTCTTCCTTACACCAAAGCTAAATATAATATAATATAATAAGACTTAATTCGGGCCCTCGTGCCCTACTATTGCTTTTTGGAGAAAGACTCAACCTCTTTAGTTGTTTACAACCGTGGAGCTTCACAATCGTACGCATGCACCACCAAATCCCTCAACCCCATGACCTAGGGTATAAGCTTTAAAATCAATCTTTGTCAATTAAGCTCGATCCATTTGGCATCCTATAAATTGTCAAGCCCGATCCATCCGACATATAGCATGCTTTAAGCTTGGTCCATCCAGCAAAACCATCAAAACCAGTTTTCAACTAAAAGCCCGGTCCGTCCAACACCCCAAGCCCGGTCTGTTTGGCACTTTATAAGCTCGCTCTAAGAATGGCACCCCCAAAACCTACCATCCTAATTGAATCTAGAACTTCGTGCGCCGTGATCCTCATTCAAATGAGGTACAAAGGCATACCTATAGATTTCAGCCTAGGTAGCGGGCCTTGACCAAACTAACCGTTCGAGACTCTAAGGGAATGTGTCGCACGACCTAGAATCCTCGATAAATGAGGCTAGAGTTAGGCCCCTTCAAATTACACTCTTTATTCATTTATTACTTTTAATGCACTATATTTTTTATATTGGCATGCAATATTAGTATGTTCATACATCTTATAAACTGTCATCCACACAAATAATATTTTGATTTCTTGATTAAAACCCAAACCATGAGATTCATAAAAAAAGAAGCTGAAAACCTAGTCCCCGAACCCAATGATTCGAGGCTAGTACATTTTATCTATTGTGGCAAAATTGAAAGGAGTCAATCACGGGGTTTTTCCTTAAACTTTTCTTCGAAAATAAAAACAAATTAAGGTGGCAGCTCTAACACATCACACACCGTCAAAGCGCTCCAAAGAGCCAATCTGACACACCTAAGCGTTAAACTAAGCCATAATCAAATAAAAAGGAATCGTAAAGAGTTCCTACCAATTCTGTGACAAACCAACCAACGAGCTCGTCTGAATCGACTCTGTCCTTCGGATCTTTTCTCATTGTGCTCGGGAGGTTCACAAATATATCCGTGTAAGGTTAGAAGTTTGGATTAGAAAATATCCGGTAGAGGCTAACTGATAACTGTTAAATTTATTTTAAATTTTTATCATAGGAAAATCCATTTTGAATACAAATTAGATAGAGAAATAATTATCTTTATAGAGATATGATATGATGAGATTTTAAAAGTAATATTTATTACTATTATATGTAGATAAGAGATAAAGATGAAAATATTTATGTAAAAAGAAATAGAAAAAGCTCAAAAATATGTAAAAAAAGGAAATATAGAATGTAGAACAGTAGAGTGTCAAGTTAGCATTTTTAAAATATTTTTTGCTTTAGGATTATATATAGATATAGATATAGATTTTATGAAAAATAATTTAGTAAGACTATAAAAAATCCTGATTGATTTTCGACCTGATTCATTTCGTTTTATCCCACAGAACCGAATTTGTGTCCTATCCCGTCTAGAAAAATGGGACGGGTAGAATGAAACTACGTACCTATTGGGACATGATTGAATCTTCATTTTTTTTTCCTCGATATTTTGAGATGCAGCTGAGAATTATATAATTCCGGTCCCAACCCAATCCATGCACACCCCTAGATTTTTGTACTTTTTTTTGAGTTGGCATTATTCATCGTTCAATTTGTCTTATTAAGAATGAAATTTGAGGTTCTGTAGGATAAGAAAATGCTACAGTGAATGGACTCAGCAGAAAAGATTTGATTGGTTTGGCTCGATTTTTTTTCTTTTTTATTGTTTCAGTTTGATTCGACTTTTAATAAGGAACTAAATGTTCTTTAATTTGGATTTGGTTTGATACTGTACTTCACTGAAATTTTTTCTTTTTTTTCCATCTAAAAATAGTTAAACAAAATCAATTGAGTTGGATTATTTTGCTATTCAATTTGGATTCGGTTACTTGTATTTAGTTTATTTCTGTTCACAGACCAATGCACACATAGAACCGGGTTTTTAGATATGGTTTTTGGATATATAAAGTAAGAGCAAGTCCAACGGGATTGTGGATTGTGGCTTATCTAATTGCTAAATCAGAAAAATTGACAGTTAAACAATAAAATCTTTTTCAATGCTACTGTCTTTTCAATTTATTAAGCTGACGTGTAAAAAAAAAAAAAAAAGTAAACACTGTAAACCATATCCTTTATTTTCAGAATGTCTGTTACACAGTGTGACTCACCTATTTAACTATTAATTTTATTTTTCTTTTCCACCATCTTCGCTAAAACTTCTCACGCTCGACTTATTTTCTTTTATTATAATTAGATATAACTTTTAAAAAATAATACACATCATCATAAAATTCTATTTTGATTAGAATACATTGGAGAGCCCTTTTTCAAATTTAATATTCACAAATAGACCTATAGCCACATCATTATTAACGACTTCTATTTAATATGTCATATAAGCCACAACCCACAAGGTGTGATTGCAGTTGCTCTAACAGAACTGGACTTGTAAAAACAATTCAATAATTTCAGTTTTCTGTTCAAATTTGAAAATCTACAAGACCTCGTCGAACATAAGTATTATATTACAAACAATACCTATGTTGACCGCTAAATACCAAACAAAAACTTCCCACTTTGATAAAACATAACGCTTTATTTGATTTCCTTTGGCATTTTGCCAACTTTTTCTTAAAACAAAAGATTACCAACAAATTACATATCCACAGCCAGACGTTTATACAATTCAGAAGGCAGGCGAGGGGTTGCAACTGCTTGTAATGGAGTCCTCATGTAGGTCACAAGTCCTGGATTTTCTGACATGTCAATTTCCTCTGGCTTCACACCCTCAGGTGGTGTCCAACGAAAATGGTGCAATAAGTGACCTAACATAGACGTTACCAAATTGATACCGAGTTGTGCACCAGGGCACACTCTCCTTCCAGCACCAAATGGGAGCAGCCGGAAATCATGACCCTTCATGTCAACATCCTCCTCCAGGAACCTCTCTGGCCGGAACTCCTCTGGGTTCTTCCAGACAGCCGGATCACGAGCTACTGCCCACACATTTACATGGACATTTGATCCCTTAGGTATGTCATAGCCACCAATTTTGACATTGGAATTGGCACGGTGTGGAAGCATTAGTGGTGTTGGTGGGTGCAACCTCATTCCCTCCTTGGCTATACATTGTAGATATGGGAGACCTGAGAAATCAGCCTCTGTCATCACTCTTTCAAACCCAATCACACGGTCTAGTTCTTCCTGAGCCTTTTGTTGCACCCTTGGGTTCTTAATTAGCTCAGCCATTGCCCATTCTACTGTTATTGCAGTGGTGTCCATGCCTGCAGTAATCATATCCTGCAGTAGCCATAGCAGCATTGAGTTAAAACTTACTATAAATTTAGAAATACACTAATTGGTTAATTAACAAACAATAGGCAAAGTGATGACGTACCCAAAGAAGTCCAATAATGGTGTCTTCGCTGAGATCATATTTCTCCTGCAATGTAAGCAATGCGTCAACAAAATGTTGCTTAGCACCTCCACTCTTCTGACGAGCAAGTGTATGCTCTTCCATGATAGCTCGAGTGAGGCGATCCCTTCGAGCTCCATGCTTAGCAAATGCCTCCTCTTCTAATGGGAACATCCAGCGAAGCCATGGAATATGCTCTGCCATGGCAAGTGATGCACCTAGCTTAAGTCCGTTGGCCACAATTGCCTTAAATTCTTGGCCTTGCTCATCCATTATGCCCTCTGAGTTCACGAATCGCTTACCGAACGCTAACCTTGTTATATTGTTGAATGCAACTGCTCCTAAATACTTCTTCACTAGCAAACTCTTTCCATTATTTTCTGCATTTTGTTTTACAAGCATTTAGCTTATGTCAACTAGCAAAGAACTGAAAGAGGATGAAAAGTAGCTGGCAACAGCAAGTAAAGAAGCATAGGCATAAGGTTACTATTGTGGGCTTGAGGCCCAATTTATTATCTGAAAAATCAACTATAAGCCCGTCACTTGTGTTGGGGAAAAAGAGAAATACTTGAAAGTGAAGCATCGGCAAACAGAGTTGGTGTACCTAAAAGTGGAACTAATAAATGCTTTATTAGTTATTATTATCTCAAACACGTTGATAGGTGAGACATAGCATTATTTTGTTGTTAGTGGGTCACCACTCCAATCGTCTATGACGGAAGGAAGCTGTGTGAAATACTGCTTTTTGGATACTTAGATTAACAACATAAATGGTTAAGGAAAATCTAGAAAATTATGCAAGGTTTGAGTTCAAACCACAATAGTTATAGAGAAAAATTTTCTTTTCTTTTCTTTCTAAGAAAATGGGCAATTAAATTATTCAATTTAAAGACAATTGTCTCGAAACATATAATGTTGATCATATTGAAATCACTGATTTCAGAGAGTTTAATATAAGAGTTTAAGTAACATTTTAGATTTTATTAAAAACAGCACAAAAAATTACGTATGGATTAGATTTCTTTTGTATCTCTTCGATAAACACAATTAAATAGAAATCCTGAGCTACTTTATATAAGAACAAAAGACCTTATTTCCGAAAGAAAAAAAAAAAAAAAGTTGAAAATAGGCAAATAGGTATTGAGTTTCAAACATCAACAGTTGTTTGGCGCTCACCTAATTTTAGTTGCGCATCTGCTTCCATTAGAGCACAACTTGTGGACTTCATTTACCGATTACTAAAACAATTTTTTAAGTGCACTTAAAGATACCAAACGAGAGGCTGATATTACAGAATATTTAAATATGTAATATAAATAATTAAATAATTTTTTGTACCTCGTTTGATTTTTATTTCTAATTTTAAATATAGAATAATTATTGTATAGAATGGCAAATTTATAATTTTAGTTTTTGATGAATGTCTAATATGTAATATTTTATTCCTTCAAAAAAAAAAAAGTAAAACAAGTAAAATTTTACTTGTAGGTAACTCTCATTTATTAAAAAAATAAATTTTATATATTTTACCGTTGTAGGTAGCTTTAACCCTCTCCTTAAACTTTAATTCTATGACTAAGATTTTTGTCTTTCTGTCCTTGATTGTGTGGTTGGATCTATTTCGAACAATTGCTTCTTTTAGATAAGTATGACTTTTTATGTTCCATTTGATGTAAAATATTAATTTGACCTCCATTGCGAGAAATTTTAGATCAACAATTTTCAAACTTTGTAATTATTTATTAGGTATTTCGTGGATCTAATTTTTTAAATTAAAATATTTAATAAATTTAATTTTATAACAGGTCAAATTAAAAATTAAAAATATTGAAAAATTAAAATAATAAAATTTAAGAGTAAAATAATGAATTTCACAATCGCATTTCAAAACTTGTAATTATTTATTTAGGGTATTTCGTTGGATCTTAATTTTTTAAATTAAAATATTTATAAATTTAATTTTATAACATGGTCAAATTTAAAAATTAAAAATATTTGAAAAAATTTTAAAATAATAAAATTTAAGAGTAAAAATAATGAATTTTCCACAATCGCATATATATATATTATATAAATTATAGTTATATATAGTATATATACTATACTATATTATTAACAAACAAGGGTGTCCTCTCCCTGTTACTGTCAATTTAGCTAGTTTCAAAAAAACAGTCCTTCTCCAATTTTGAACCAGCCAAACGTGCAAAGTGTACGTTGAATAGGAAAAGGCGCGACTCATCCATTCTCTTGGTGAGTATTTATACAAAAGTCGAATTGTTTTGGGTTACAACTACACGATGTATACTTTGAGATTGATTAATTTATTTAAATTTATAAATTAATCAAATTTTAAAAACAAGTAATATTTTCATATATACAAACACAGGTGTCTCACTGTCAATTTAGCTATCAAAAACAGCCTCCAATTTTGACCAGCCAACGTGCAAGTGTCGTAATAGGAAAAGGCGCACTCATCCTTTGGTGAGATTACAAAGCAATTGTTTGGTTACAACTACACGATGTTACTTTAGATTGATAATTTATAAATTTTATAAATTAAAAATTAAAAAAAATATTTCTTGAGGAACAAAATCAAAAAGTTTATTATGCAGTAATTAGAAGAATTAGATTAGAATTTACTCCATAGCATCAATTTATAACCTACTAACAGTGATTCGTTATTTTAGTTAACAATAAATTGCGATATACACAATTTATGATATAGTGTAAATTACTAAATCTGACTTATTTTTTAATAAAAAAATGAAATGTAGTCATACTGAAAAAGTGAGATGCAATCATGAAATAGGAAATGAAAATAAAAAATGGTAAACCTCTAATTGTTTGGTATAAATACGGAAAAACAGAAAAAAAATGAAAAAAAAGAAAGGAAAAGAATTTAGCGTACCAGGATTGGTGCAGTCAGTGAAAATAGATTCAACCATGGCCGTAACCTCGTCTTCCCTAATAGGTCTCAAAGCCTCGAGTCTCTTAGGAGTGAAAAGCTCAAGAGTACAAACTTTCCTAACCTTCACATAGTGAGGTCCATAATCGGCCCATATAAGATCTTTCCCATCTCTGCTGAACTTGGCAGCCGATCTACTTCTATGCCTATCAGCTAACTGTTGATCATTTTCCTTTAGCACTTCTCTCGCCAATTCTGTATTCGAAACGATCACGTTTAACGTGGAACCGAACCAAACTGAAATGATCGGACCATAAGACTGAGCCCATTCTGCGAAGCAACGGAACCGAACAGGCTTTATGTCATAGAGGTTGCCGACAATTGGCCATGGTCGTGGGCCGGGAGGGAGTTTGAAGCGTAGATGGTGATAGAGTTTGTACGCCAAGAAGATGAAGAGGATTGATAATGATATAAGGAGGAGAGCCATATTGAGGAAACTGATAAAAAAAATTTGATGGCTATAGTAAAAGAAATGGGAGTAGAGATGTTGATATATAAGAGAACGGCAGAAGGGGAGTTGGTGAGGCATAGAGAGGAGTCAAAAGTGACCACCGTAAAGGGTAATGTGCCATTTTCGGGTGGATTGGTGGTGTCAGTGGGTTTTTGTTTGGGATGGCCCATTAGCTTGTAGAATATAGCTATAGAGCGTGTGTCACGCGCTTGGTGAGCTAGTGGATTAGGTTTTCTATTAGTTGTTGGTGGTTGGTGAAGGGTATATTCATTTTTTTATTTTGTTTATTTTATATTGTGTACGAAAGAATCAAAGGTTGGTGAGATTGTAGGCCGTTCTTTCTGGTCTCCCAGCCCACAGATCAGAGATCCATTGATACAGAAATCGAACGGAACTGCCTTTGAGAGGTCAGTGCACGGGAAAGGATAAAATTAGGTAAGTTCCTTTGATGCACGTACATTTACATTACTCATGATGTAATGTAATTGTAATCTTATGCATAAATTTACTCTTAAAAGTTTATGCTTTTAATTTTGTGGCACCAGAGTGCTTCAAATGCTCAAGAGAGTGGGAGAGTATTTCTAAAGGCCAATATAGCAGTGCATTTGGAGAAAAAAATACAAGAGAAAAAAATTCATTAATTAAAAATGAATCCACATAAAAATTCTTGTGTTCTTTTTTTTTTATAATTGATAGAATAAATAATACTCCATCTATTCTCTTTATTTAGAAAAAATATTCCTTTTAGGTGTATTTTTTATATAGAGAATTTTATTCTAAAAAGTAACTTTGGGATGCAAACTAAGTTAAAAAGACTAAAATGCTCTTGGAGTCTATGTGTTTATTTTAAGATTAAAACTCAACAATCAAGAAAAGTGATAGACACAAATATTTTCAGCATTTAATGTACGCGTGTTTAAAGAGACAAGTTATCTGCTCACTTTTTAATTTCATTTTATAATAACAGTAGTCGTTTATATAAGTTTGGCCACAAAATTAAAGTTCTAATATTAAAAGGCAAAATAATTGCCACATAAATATAAAGTTAGCTCTTATTTGTATATTTGATGAATATATGTTCACTTTTATTCTTGTAAATTTAGCCACAGGCGTTAATATCGGGAAAGAATATATGTGAGGCTTAGTTAAGTTTTGAAAACGGCCACGTTTTGTTTTTAAAGTGAAGGCATGTTTTGATTATTGAAAAATGGGAGAAATTAGAGTTAGTAAGCCACTTAATAGCCTTTTGTTTTTAGTAATTGTGCAATTTTTCAATGGTTTTTCTTTCTCTGTGTTAGTTAACAGTTGTGATTTTCTGTAAGCCATTTTATGGCCTTTTTATTATTAGTCGTGCACTTCTGTAAGCCATCTTATAGTCTTGTTATTATTAGTTGTGCATTTTTTCAATAGTTATTGTTTTCTATATTAGGTAAATTTTTGTAAGCCACTTTGTAGCCTTTTTATTATTAGTCGTGTATTTCTGTAAGTCATTTTTGGCATTTTTATTATTAGTTGTGCACTTTTTCAATAGTTTTCAATAGTTATTATTTTCTATGATAGGTAACGTTTGTGAATTTCTATAAGCCACTTCGTGACCTTTTGTTATTATAAATTGTGCACTTTTAAAAATACAATTTTTTCAAATCCTTGTAATGGTTGTACTCTTTTGAAAAACACTTTGTGGCATTTTATTAATAGTAGTTGTGAATTTTTGTAAGTGATTTTGTGGCATTGTTATTATTAGTTATGTACTTTTTTAATAGTTAATTGTTTATGTGTTAAGTAACAGTTGTGAATTTCTATTAGCCGCTTTGTGGCCTTTTATTATTATTATTCCTACACTTTTAAAAATACAGTACTTTTTTTTTATTGTAATGGTTGTACTCTTTTGTAAGCACTTTGTGGCTTTTTGTTAATAGTAGTTATGAATTTTTGTAAGTGATTTTGCAGTCTTGTTATTGTTAGTTGTGTACTTTTTTAATAGTTATTGTTTATGTATTAAGTAACAGTTGTGAATTTTTGTTAGCCACTTTGAGGTCTTTTGTTATTATTATTCATGCACTTTTAAAAATACAGTACTTGGTTTTTTTTTTTTTAATTATTGTAATGGTTATACTCTTTTGTAAGACACTTTGTGGCCTTTTGTTAATAGTAGTTGTGAAGTTTTGTAAGTGATTTTGTAGCCTTGTTATTGTTAGTTGTATACTTTTTTAATAGTTATTGTTTATGCGTTAAGTAACAATTGTGAATTTTTATTAGCCACTTTGTGGGCTTTTGTTATTATTAATCTTGCACTTTTAAAAATACAGTACTTTTTTTTTAAATCATTGTAATAGTTGTACTCTTTTGTAAGACACTTTGTGGCCTTTTGTTAATAGTACTTGTGAACTTTTGTAAACCATTTTGTTAGTTGTGCACTTTTCAATAGTTATTATTTTTTATGTTAGGTAATGGGTGTCAACTTATGTAAGCCATTTTGTGGAGTTTTGTTATTATTTATCTTGCACTTTTAAAAATGTAGTACCTAGTATTTTTTGGCCTATTATTTCATTTCTGGGCACATATTATGTAAAACGTTCACATTGTAATAAAGTGTGATAAAATTAATAAAGAAGATTGAAGTAATGCTTCAAAGGATGCAAGTAGGCAATAAATGCACTTCTTGAGAAAGCCTTTTGTGTCAGCTATTGTTCTCATAAATAATGAACGGAAAAACTCTTTTTAAGGGTATTTTAGGAGAAAAATTCATTTAACTAACTTTCTTAATATAAGAGCTTTTTTTTTTTTTTTTTTTTTTTTTTTTTGCTTCCTTAAATAAAGAGAACAGAGCGAGTAATATCCTATCTAAGATATCTACACAAATACAATGGAGATAAAATCTCCACTCTATCAAGCTCCACATCTCCACTATATCAGGTTCCTCTACATTAAGAATTAGTTGGATATAATGGAAATAAAGTCTCTAATGTATCAGGAATGATATGGTAAATAATCTCCACTTCTTAGCTATATAAGAGGCGTTATAAATCATAAAGAGAAGAACAACATTCAGATTATAGAATAATTGTGAGTCTATCAAATGGTACGGTGAACGTAGAATACACCTTCCATGACACAATAACTCACACTTGATTGTCCTGGCGATATTGCTGTTAATAATAATGGGATTAAAGAGAATTTTGCTGCTATACATAACTTGGTTGTCCGAATCTAGTCGACCTTGAGAAGCTTGAATCACCCTTGTGGTGGCTTCAATTGTTAAGGTATTGCCAATGGTTGGAGAAAGAAGTATATCTAGTTTTTAGAAAATTTTTAACATTTCAAAAAAAGAAAATATTGAAGATTAACAGGTATGTCTCACACTTCTTTATCTTCCATGTCCTTAAAATGTGTTATTTTATTTAATCCAATATGTTATTTGAAATTCAACAAGTGCATAAATGACTAAATTGAAAGGTGAAAGTTTAAAAGAAAATGTTTTAAATGAAATGATTTATGCAACTTTCGAGATTCACTCTCTTGGAAGGTAAATATACTGATAAAACACGATACAAGATAATATTGGGTAGTAAAAAAAAATATTGATTCTCAACTAATTTATGATATTAACAAATGTTGTAATTTCTTGAGAACTTGTTAGCTTAAGATCAAGTCCTATATGGTAGAGTTAGTTCAATGTTGAAAAAAATGACTAGTCTAGTGCATATTGTTATGACTTGGTCTCGTATCATTTGATTGACATTATTTCTCTAGCTTTTGCTTCTTCTTTCATATGCTTAGTATTTTTGCCAAATCTTTAACTGGGTCATACCTGAGCTATGGCCTATCAACTTAAGTGGTTCCACATGTATTATACTTAAAGAATTTTGTCATAGTACACAGTTGATGTTACTAGAGAGAAATTTAATATTTATACTCAAATTCAAAGTCTCATTACTCTTTTTTTTAACTCACTATTAATTGTTTCGATATAAATTTTATCAAGCCTCTCTTAAGGTATACCATACTTAACAAAATTAGATTATAGGTGTATACAATATCTTGATAAAATGGTTTTGGTATATATATAAATATATAATTATAATTTGTATATATATTTGAGTTCGTCTTCTAATTTATTTTTCTATTTTTTTACCTATGAAATGCGATGTTTTTATTAATTGATAAATCAACAATTAACTTTTATTTAACTTTTTAAATTTTGAAATATAATTATTTCATAAAATAATTACTTGATAGTTTCAATCCTGGTTGAATATTTGAAATAAAATATGATGCTAATGATTTATTTGCAAAAGTTTACTTTTTGGAGTCTTGTTCTTCGTTGACCTGCTAGGAAACTGTATTTTTTTATTAGCTTTTAGATAGACTAAGCACTCCCCTGCAGCCTAAAGACCAAACTATCTCTCCTTCTAATTATATGCATTAGGCATAATTAGTATTGTGTTGCTTCCAAATACAAACCCAATTGATAGATTTAGAAAATCTTATAGGAGAATTTAGGAAAGAAAAGAATAGCGAAATGAGTTATTAGATTTGAAAAAATTAGTTCATGTTCCATTACCAACACATCAATTATAGATTCAGAAAATTGATTCGTAACACCCATGCATGTATAAATCCGCATGACATAGACGAAGAAGGGATGATAAATAATGATAATTGGATGAGAGAGTAATTATAATTAAATGGTAAATGAATATATTAAGCTTTTGTAACCTAAGTAGGATTTTTGATCCCATTTATATAGAATGACAAGTCTTATTCATGTAAGTGTAGTTATACCCTTGTTAAATACATACAGATTGGAAGTACTAATGAATACGTATATTGATAGGTATTCTTTATAGTGATATATAATTTTTATTAGGATTTTTAGTATTTTTAATTACTTTAATTAGTTTTTATTTAGTTTTATTTATATTTTTATTTAAAACTTCCTTGAACCGCATTTCACTTGATTTTGGGGTATTTTGTTGAATTTTTATAGAAAATCAGTCAAAATACAGAAAAGAGTGTTCCTAAGCAGAGGCTAGCACACCCAACCGTGCCATATAGCACGCCCGTGCTAAATGCCTAACTTCATATTGGACCGAAAACAACA